GTCTGTGCCTGCCATAGCTGGGGCATCCTCAGCGCATCTACCCCTGAGGGTATCTGCGTCTGGCCGGGCTACATCGAGGCTCTACACCTGTCTCTTATACACATCTAGATGTGTATAAGAGACCCAGTCTGTGCCTGCCATAGCTGGGGCATCCTCAGCGCATCTACCCCTGAGGGTATCTGCGTCTGGCCGGGCTACATCGAGGCTCTACACTGTGTACTCGTGGGTGGTGGCAGCCATAGCTGTCTGTTCCTTCGTCAGAGTTGTCCATTGGCACTGAAGACTTCATCGCAGGACCTGTTCTTCATCAAGGTGGTTGGCGCTGGCCTCTGGGAGGCCATTCGGATGTGGCGCTACTAACTGGGTGTAGGATAGAGAGTGGGGTGTGAGTTCTGAGAGTGGCGAGATACTGGAACAAACTCTGTTACGATAATTGTTTGAGTTGGCTCATCATCAGTGCAATTTCAATTGTTATCCTCACAGGTTCTACTTGTAATTGGTTGTTGGGGGTTTGTCAGAGAGAAAGAAACATTGTGCATCTTCTCCCCATCTGTGCATAGCTGTATTCCGTTGCCTACTTTGATCTGTGTGCAGTGTGGACTTTGTCTCCTCTTCCCCTTCTCTTATGCATGTATGGGCATGAATGAGATTGTCTGTGTGTGAGTGGCGGTAAAAATCGTCAGACAACCAAGATCATAACACAGCCACCATCCCCTGGAGAGGTCTCTTCACTGTTTGTAGTAGAATCAGTCGGATTGCTCTCCGGGGATTGCAGTGCTTACAAGTGCTCATCGCATACTGTTCCTGATCGATGAGCCAGATGCATGTATGGGCATGAATGAGATTGTCTGTGTGTGAGTGGCAGGAAAAATCGTCAGACAACCAAGAGCATAACACAGCCACCATCCCCTGGAGAGGTCTCTTCACTATTTGTAGTAGAATCAGTCGGATTGCTCTCCGGGGATTGCAGTGCTTACAAGTGCTCATCGACGTACTGTTCCTGATCGATGAGCCAGACCAAGCAATTCTTCACCACTTGATGATACAAAGAGTGAATATTTCCCGCTGTGTGCACCCTACCACCATTGCCCCTTGGGATCGATGGGACAATGGATCCTATCGGCAATTGTAAGAGCACTGAAATGACCTGGACGATGTAAGATATATGCCCAAATATTTGGATTGACGCCTGGCATGTGGTCTTCTGCAGCAGGTACCCCTACCCATAAATGCCGTAAACAGGGCTTTTATGTTCACACCAGGTGCAGTACTGCCGTCCTCCAGGCAGACAGCACGGTGCTCTTCTACTATCCAGCGGACGTCTGCAAAATCAGAAACCATATAATGGTTACAATTGTGAGCAAGGAGATGTACATTAAGGACATAGAACGCACAGCGGCCTCGCTGTAGCGCTATGACATCATCAGATTCTGCAGTTTGCACTTTAGGGGGAGATTCATTCAATTCTGCAACTTGCACAGGTGGTGGAGGCTCATTGCGGTCTCGACTATTTCTGTCAGGTGCCTCGGGCTGTATTGAGTCCGTTGGCTCCAGTGTGCGCTCCGAAGATAGATCTTCAGTAGGGAGCTCCATCAGGTAACCAGAAGACGGGTCATTATCATTTGGGGCACTGGAGCAAGTGGGGCTAGGTGCATGAGAGAGGGGCAGGTCAGGCAGGTAAAAAAAGGGTAGACCAGTCGCAGGAAGCGGAAGCGGATCAGCCGCACTTGTGCGCAGAGCGGCTGCTAGTCGTGCAAACGCTGCACAAGTAGCTGCACCTCGTGTCTGGTGCACATGCAGGCCTGCAGTAATGAAGAAATCATCGCCACATTGTGGGCATCACACTCAACATGTACTATTCAGTAGGGAGCTCCATCAGGTAATCAGAAGACGGGTCATTGTCATTGAGTCCGTTGGCTCCAGTGTGCGCTCCGAAGATAGATCTTCAGTAGGGAGCTCCATCAGGTAATCAGAAGATGGGTCATTGTCATTTGGGGCACTGGAGCAAGCGGGGCTAGGTGCATGAGAGAGGGGCAGGTCAGGCAGGTAAAAAAAGGGTAGACCAGTCGCAGGAAGCGGAAGCGGATCAGCCGCACTTGTGCGCAGAGCGACTGCTAGTCGTGCAAACGCTGCACAAGTAGCTGCATCTCGTGTCTGGTGCACATGCAGGCCTGCAGTAATGAAGAAATCATCGCCACATTGTGGGCATGACACTCGACATGTACTATTCCTGGATAGCGTACATTGAAGGCGACGATGTCGTTCAGGTTGCGAGCGGATGCGTCCACCGGCGGGGCCTTTTACCGGCTGATCTGACCATGAATGTGATGATGGTAATGATGGTAATGCAGTCAATGACGAAGAGGAGGCCTGCGAGGTGGTGGAGGGGCACGAAGGAGAAGAGGAAGAGGAAAAAGTAGAGGAGATAGATGACAGAGGGGTTGATGCCATAGAAGATGTCAGCGGGGGGAGTGTTGGAAACGATGGTTATGGATGAAGATGATGGTGGCAGTGTCGGTGGCAGCACTGGTGGTGCTGGTGGTGGTGGGGGGTGACGGTGGAAGAGGATGGGCCGGTGGTGGTGATGATGCTAGAGGTCGCGGCAGCAGTGGAAGCGGTATACTTTCCATTGCCGCCGTATTGGTAGGACGCTGGCCCTCCTCCCTTGCCGCCTCTTCAGCCAAATTCGATGCGGCTGGCCTGGTGCCCTGCCGTATCCACATTAGTATCTGGCATTTCGGCAGGAATGACGGGAGAGTGCGGGTCCACCGCATTGGAGAGCTGATGCTGCCCACGGTCAACATCGGTGTTGGGCTGCGGGAAGTGGCCTATTGCATGTGTGTGTGTGTGTGTGTGTGTTGTGTGTGTGTGTGTGTGTGTGTGTGTGTGTGTGTGTGTGTGTGTGTGTGTGTGTGTGCGTTTTAGATTTTCCCCACAACAGCCCCAATTCAGCCCAGGTGAATAGATTCAGAATCAAAGCAGTCTTTGTCCTGTTGCAGACAACGACAGCGTTTGACATGTCCAACATATTAAAGCAATTTTATAATTAGACAGTTTTTTGGTTGTCCTTGGGGTACCCCTTTCATTGTTCTTGCAGCTCCCCTTTTACTGTGCCTCTTACGCACAAGGCTGCCCACGTTGATTGTGGTTGAGCGGCAGCTGCCCACATCCCCGTGTACCTTTACGGCCCACTCTCACGTTATTTCAGGAGGCAGAGTAAAAGGGAAGGTATGCTCCTGTGCATCTCTTCAGAGCTTCATACTCCTGTTCATTTCATTTCAGAGCTTCAGCTTATACAGTCTTTGTGTCCGTCCTTCATCTCCATACTTCCGTTCATTTCATTTCTGATCTTCATATCGCCTATACTCTTAATGATGCTCATTCGTATGTATTTGTTAGTAGTACAAGGGGAGTGGAGGGTAGGCTGGAGGGTGAGGGATAGAAGGCGGAGTTCTCTAGGAGTATGGGGCAGGGGAGGTAGGTGCAACAGTAGGGCAGGATAGAGTATGACATGCAAAGAGCATGGGAAAGGTGAATGACGGGTTTCACAGATTTCTAAATATTCACCGCTGTGAAACGGTATTCACCTGCTAGCAGTAGCGAATGCAGATATCCCAGGGCTCGATCCCTAGACTTTACCTTACCTGTGTACAGTACCTGTGTAGACCCCGAGAGTTGAACCCGTGACCTGTGTATTCGTAACAGTCGGTAGGCTGTCGTAGGGTCCGTAGGTTGTAGGGGTTCGATCTGTAGACCTGTCGGATAGAGGCCTTAGGGAGTTCTAGAAGTCGTAGCTGTAGGACTTCTGAAAGGTCAAGGTCGTAGCTGCTACAGTCCTGAAAGGTCAAGGTCGTAGCTGCTACAGTATTCAAAAGGCCAGGACTACAGACTTCCGGAAGGTCCCAGTAGTGGCCTATCGAAGTTGGCTCACGTCTAGACAGAGGCAAGTGGGCAAGTGGTACCAGTCCCAGTCAGTCCTAGTCCAGTCAAGCAAGTACCGTATGGGACTGTGTGCACCACGAGCATGGAAAAGGGGCAGACCAACGAGTTACAGTATAAATCAAGAGGCAGCGCCCAGCCATTCATTCATTCCTGCGTACGCCATGCGGAAGTGCTGCTACAGCGACTTGTGCGAGGTAGTCTGCAGTATGCCCGAAGACAAAGTGGGCAAGAAGGAGAGCTTAGCCATAGCGGTAGAGGTAGTAGCGGCCATAGCCGCCATAGCTGGAAGAAGGGTGTAGCGTGTGTGTGCATGTGTGTACAGTGTGTCGTGTGTGGGATATCCAGGGTGATCCTGTGTGTGAACAGCAGAGTTGGGTGAGTGACGAACAGAGAGTTGTACAGGCGCTAATGCGCCATAGCCATCTGAAGTGCGCTTGTATCTGAACTGTGTTCTTGGTTACCAAATCTCTAAGTTCTGAGTGGGCACTTGTCGCCAGTTTGCTGCGCTACCTGTTTACATGCATGTGGGGTGTGAAAGAAAGCGAGTCTGATTGCAGCTGAAGCAGACTTCTAAAAAAAACAAAAAAAAACAAAAAAACAAAAAAAAAAGAAATAAAAACTATGACGACTGGCCACCCCTACAGAACAGACAGGACCAGTTCAGGTGTGGGCTATGGAAGCACCGCATCCAATTTTCGCACTCACAGTTGCTGCATCGAACAGCACGGCGCGGACAGATGTCACAGGCTATGTGGCTCATACATGCTAGGGGTGCGTGTGTTGTCATATTCGTTATACACTCAAAAAAAGCATGACTGTACCAGACTGTTTCGTCGGACTTTCACCGACTCATGTGCGTGTGTGTGCGTGTGTGTGTGTGTGTGTGAGAGAGAGAGAGAGAGAGAGAGATTTTCTACTATGTCGTTGTCGTCTTTTCTTCCTTTTCTTTCAAGCAGCAACAGGTAATCTTGTGGCAAACTGAATCCATATAACAGTTCCCACACATACTTCAACAAATCAAACTACCTCAAGAATATGATAGGCTTTGCTTCACTGACCGGTGCTTGCCACATGAGAGAGAAAGTGACCCGCCCCAGCTCCAAAAGTAATGCCCCTAGCCGCTGCATTATTGTTCCTTGCTGCATCGCTTGAACACGGAAGTTATTCCTTGCTTCAGGCTCAGTAACTGGCCCTTGCGATTCGAGCTGATCTGCAAATCGCTGCATCCAACCACAAAGTCCCAAGATGTAGTTGATAGAAACATATGTTTGTTAATTCCATCACCCATCAGATTGACCAGCATTCCAAGCCAATCGCTGAACCACTGCATTTGAGCACAAAGCTTAAACACTTGAAAGAGACCCCGGTGTCTTCTATACCTATCAGATCAACCAAAAAGTCCCAAGACGTGATTCATAAAAACACGTTCGTTCCTTCCACCACCTATCAGACTGACCTGCATTGCAAGCCGATCCCTGAACCACTTAGCACTTGAAACAGATGCTTATGTCTTCTATCACCACTAGATCGCCAGCCCCTAAGCCATCCTAGACCTCAATCTTGGAACGTAAACAGAAAAGTAGGTCGGGGCACATACCTTGAATATACCTTAGGTAGGTTGGTTCTACCTCCAATGTTCTTGCATTTCACTTTTCAGTACAGAAAAGATAGCAACCTAATTCTGACAGAGCGTCGCAGCCAGAATTTCCAAGGCACAAGAACACACTTCCAGCAGTCACATCCAAACTTGTATTGACTAGATGACCCGTTGCGGCTTCACCCGCAAAAACAGAAAACTGAAAAGCACAAAAGAAAGAAAAAGCATAAGGAACTGCCCTATCATATGCCGCTTTTTCACAAAAATCACAAGAAGAGCCTGAGAGCAGACAGAAATCCGCGAGCAAAAAATAGAAGGGAATACCACCAAACCTTTTTTGTTTCTTTACCTGCGAGTGTTTTATTTGGGAAGCCAATACCTTTGCAGCATCGTTTTTTTTTTTTTGTGCTGTTCAAGAACTGTGAACTTTCATGAGAAAATCCTGTCCATTGTCCCGTTGACATTTTGCTAAAGATTCCTATTCAGACTTTTGTTTGCTATGTTCTCTGAATATGTTTGTGATAAAGCGATCTTGCATGTATGCCCCGTGCTTGCTTGCCGAGTTTTGACTATATGTGCATGCGCGTGTGGGTGAGTCTCAGTTTCGTCTGCGCCAAAACTCTATGTGTGCAAGTGCATGCGTGTGTGGGTGAGTCGCAGTTTGGTGGGCTCCGATGATGCCATTGATGATTGGCCTGGGGAAGTTGTTGGAAGTCGCCTCCAACTATAGGAGTGCCACTGATGTGAAGCAGGTTTTGCATTGTATGAATGAAACAATCAGCATTCAATCTGCTTGGCAGTTGCTCTTCGCGTGGGGGACTTGTCGGGAGTAGCGTTGAGATGGGAGCCATAATGTCGGGCGTTCATTTTCCAACATTTCCTCAAAGGCAAAAAAGGCAAAGAAGAAACGAAGTAGCACGTGCCCCTCTCTCTCTCTCTCTCTCTCTCTCTCTCTCTCTCTCTCTCTCTCTCTCCCCTGCCCCCTTGACTTCGAGATTGGAACCCTCT